TATATATATATATATATACATATATATACATATATATATCTACATATAAAATTTGCAATCAAATATAAAATATAATAATTATATATAAAATTATATATAATATAAAATATATATTGATTAGTTCTTTTTCTGTGTATTTTTTATTATTTATATCACAAATTATATTTCAAATTTATATTCAATAATAACAAAAGAACTATTTTTAATAATAGTTGCAAATACATTGCATAGTTTATTTACAATATTACAACATTGCAATGAGATGTATCTGCAATCATTGTGCAATATATTTCTATGCTATATATTTCTATGGATTATATCGTCCTATTTGGATTCACAATTTTTTTTAAATTTATATTTCAAAATTACTGATAAAAAATTACTTCTTTTATTAATGTCTGTAAGATATTCTTTTACTCTCGTTTTTAGTTGTTGTTTCATCTGGCCGACATAAGTGGCTTCGCATTTTTGACAACTTATTTTATAAATGTCGCAACGTAACATTGGATCATGCTGTCTTTTCCCATTTTTATTGAGAAAATTGATGGGTTTATGTGCCAAACTGATGTTATATTTTTTAGCGAATGTTCTAAATTCATCCAAAATATTTTTTAAATATGGGATAGTAAAATATTTTCTATTGTTTATTATTATTTTTTTATTTTTGTTGATCTGTTTTTAGTGTCTTTATACGCTGATATTAATGTAATTTTAACCCTCATACGAATGTAGAGTCACTTTGATCTTTGAGCGATAAGACAACTCAGAATACCATAGCGGTTGAATGAGAAACGATCACAATGTTATATTCGTGTTAGTAATGATACAAAATACAGTACAAGATCAAAATTGTAATAAATTTATTTATGAAAATTATATAAAAAATACATTTATTTCATGTATCAAGTGTACAGAACACTAAAAAGAAATAAAGTAAATATATATTGTTCTCACACAAAATGCGTTTTTATATACATATAATTTCTTCCCAAGACTAGTTTAAAATAGAAATTCTATTATGGGTTAAAATGCCTGCATTTGTCTCCTTCGTCCATCAAAAACCATTTGCTTTCCGAGCGTTAACAGTAGAAAATATGAAGTTTAATAGGTAACATTCAGCAAAGTGTTAACCATCGCCTTCAAATTTTTTGTGAAAAGTTTTAGAAATAAGAAAAGGACTCTCTCGAAAAGTTCAGTATCACTTTTTTATACTCCATTGGACTGCATTCGGAAACATTACCTGGGTGCCCGTGTATTGTCCTATCTTTATTTAACATTGGGTGAACAACAAAGATAAAGCAATACACGGAGACACTCGGGTAACGTTTTCGAACGCAGCCTTGGGTGGTTCGAATTAAAGTTTACATATTCACCAGAGTTGATGGGCTATTTATATAGATCAAATTTAATTCTTCCACCATTAAATTATTTAACTGAATTTGTAAAGTTACTGGGGATGACCCAATAGAAGGTCGAAACGTTTAACAATTGTATTTATTATGTTTTATTATAAAATATGTTTTTATTACACCACTATGCACGGTTAACATTAAAGTATTATTTGTACACAGACAAAAGATTAAATAAAAATAAAAGTTATGCGTTTCGCGGGTTTTCTCCGTGTCCAAATCCATTCTTGAAATGCCAACGTTTTGTGAACCTTGTAGTCCACTTCGTCAGGGCGAAGAGCAGCCTGATACTGAGCTGTTCCTCTGGGCCATTTCTTTTTATACACTACTTGTTGGAGTGGTGGGAGGAAAGAAGAGAACTGTGGATGAAGGGGGGGGGAAAGAGGAGAGGAAGAATCGGTCAGTCCTCAATAACCGGAAGAATAGCTTTCTATATCTTATTTATGTTGTAGCCATTATCTTTATTTAGATTGTTAGGATGTTTCTGTATCTCTATGGCTTCTCTATACTTCCTTGGAAAGTATGTTGGCTATTGTGGTCGTTTTATCAAACAGTATTTGATGTCTCGTTTCGATGTTGTGTTCTGATAATGCTGACTGCGTGACGTGTTTTAGCCTGACATCACATTGGTATTCTTTTATCCGTAGGTTGACCATTCTCCCGGTTTCTTCAATGTATACTTGCCCACAAGAACAAGGTATTTTGTATATTCCTGCGGAGCTGAATGGAGGTCTTTGATCTTTAGAATTTCTTAAGATTTGTACTATCTTTTTGGGTGATTTAAAGATAGTTCGGATATTGTGTTTGTTTAATATCCTGCCAATCCGATCTGTTGTTTCTTTGACATATGGGAGAATGGATAGAATCTTATCGTCTGGTTGTGTGTCAGAGACCGTTGTCTTGTTTGTATGTTTATTGATAGTTTTATTTATGTCTTTTTTGTTGTGTCCGTTTTTCTGTAAGGCTAGTTTTAAATGGTTGAGTTCTGTCTGTTCTTTGTCAGATCTTTCTTGATCAGAAAGCTCTATGTACAAGTGAGTTGATTGCAGACTGTTTCTGTAATGGGTGGTGGTGCGACTCGGCGTGTAGGTATCTATCTGTGTGTGTTGGTTTTCTGTACACTTGATGGACTAAGGTACCGTCAGCTTTCTTCAGAGATAAGAACATCTAGGAAGGGGAGTTTTCCGTTTTTCTCTATGTCTATAGCGAAGTGGATATTTGCGTGTTGATTGTTGAGGAAAATAAGGAATTTACGGAGTTCGGCTCTGCCGTGTCTCCATATCACGAATGTGTCGTCTACATAACGAAACCAAACTTCTGGTTTCTTAGGTGTTTTCCTGAGGGTCTCTTTTTCAAAATACTCCATGAAGATGTTGGCAATTACAGGAGAAATAGGAGAGCCCATTGCTGCTCCTGAAGTTTGTTCATAAAATTGATTGTTATAGAAGAAGTAAGTGGTTGTTAAGCAGTGCTCTACCAGTGGGATGGTCGGAGGGGACTTTATGTGAAGTCTTTATTATGTTTAATGTGTCTTTTATTGGAACTTGTGTGAAAAGGGATTCTACGTCGAAACTTACAAGCAAGTCTGTGGGACGTAGTCGGATTTTTTGAATCTTTTTTATAAAGTCCGTTGAGTTGGTTATGTGTGATTCGGATTTTCCAGTAAGGAGTTGTAGTGTTTGTGCTAGGAAGCGGGATAAGTTGTATGTCGGGGAGTGTATGGCGCTGACAATCGGTCTGAGGGGGATGTTTGGTTTGTGTACTTTTGGTAATCCGTATAGTCGTGGTGGAAGAGGATTTGTGGGTTTTAATGTTGATTTGGTTTTACTGGGAATGTTGCTTCTCTCCACGATCTTGGTGCGATTGTATTAGTTCTTTGTCAAGCTTTTTGTATGCTTTGTCCGAAAGAAGGTTCTTCATCTTTTTCTTATAGTCTGATGTGTTCATGCCTACTGTCGTGTTGCCTTTGTCGACTGGAAGCACGATGATGTCTGTGTTCCTGTTAAAGTCTTAGAGAGCCAATCGCTCTTGTCTAGCGATGTTAGGTGGAGGGGATTTAGCTTTGGAAAGGATATTGGTTACCTGTCTGCGGATATTATCTGCTTGTTCTGATGGCAGTCGATAGATGGTTGACTCTATTTTGCTGATAATCTCTTCTTTTGGAATCTTTCTAGGTGCCACTGCGAAGTTAGGGCCTTTGGCAAGCGCAGATATAGTGTCTTGAGACAAGTCTTTGTTGGATAGGTTCTTGACGTTAAGTAGAGAGGGTTGTGGATTTTTGTGAGGGACAAGGTTTATGTATTTCTGTTTCTGTCTTTCAGAGGATTGTGTGTGTGTCTTCATGGCTTGTTCGTATGTAATACGATCTAGGGTTTACCAGAATCATGCCGCAACGTGGCGGATAGGAACAGGTGGAGTTTAAAGGTTTTATGGGAAACTAACCGATTCCTCCTCTCTTCTTTCTTCCCCCCCCTCCTCACCCACAGTTCTCTTCTTTCCCCCCACCACTCTAACAAGTAGCGTATAAAAAGCCCAGAGGAACAGCTCAATATCAGGCTGCTCTTCGTCCTGATGAAGTGGACTGCAAGATTCACGAAACGTTGGCATTTCAAAAATGGATTTGGAGAAAACCCGAGAAACGCATAACTTTTATACAGAAAGCACCCGTGGTGCTTCAAGAATATTATTAAATAAAAATGTTTTTAATATCTTTTATTTTTATAAAAAAATAATACGTATGTAGTGTATAATGATATATCTATCGTTAAATTTTTTTATTGTATGAAATACCTACGCACATAAAAAATGTCTTGGCAATTGCATGATTTTAGGACAAGAGTACCAACACTAAATCCTACGGAATTACCCTCGACAACTACGCAAAGCAAAATATACATTTATAGAACCAGAATTCCAAGGAAAGATCTTGCGGAGTCAACAATGTCGACGTCTTCGCTGTTACGAGAGAACAACATCGGACACGCTATAACGAGAAGAAGGGGTGCTGTTAAACATAACAAAGTGCACATTGTACGAGGTCATAAACTTGTAGCCAAGTTTTTTCGGCAACCAACATTCTGCGCTTTTTGTAAAGATTTTTTGTGGTAATACTTTAGATTTTCTTTGTGTTTCTTTTTAACATTTTGAATTTTATCTCATATTCTTAGAATTTTTACAATTTCAATTATACATATATTTTTGATAATAAATAAATAATTCCTTAATTCTTATTGCAGAATTTCTACAATTTCAATTGTATATATATTTTTGATAATAAATAAATAATTCCTTAATTTTTAATTTTTTATTTTAGGGGTTTTGGAAAACAGGGTTATCAATGTCAGGGTAAAGTTTTTAGTTTCTATAATTTTACTTTTTTTATTTATTACTTTCCTGTATCTCTTCATTAATAAGATTTATAAAAGAATTTTTTTTATTATAGCGTGTCAAACGGCAGTACATAAGAAATGCCACGACAAATTATTAACTAAGTGTCCTGAGAGTGGAAGAGAATCAGAAAATACAATAGTAAGTATAGGTGTTTACGATTAGAAATTAAAAGAAGATTACAGTAAATAAAATTAAATTGTAATATTGATTATTTTAATCTATAATATATAAAAATATACTATATAAATATTTAAACGATGTAATCATTATTAGACAAATATAATAACAGCAGTTTTACCATTAAATTTGTTATCTAAATTATTAAATATTTATTTTGTTATAGTATTTGAGAGAACGTTTTAAGATAGACGTTCCTCATAGATTTCGTACTCACACATTCATGTCACCGACTTTCTGCGATCATTGCGGCTCAATGTTGTATGGATTGTTTCGACAAGGTTTAAGATGCGACGGTAAGAATGTAAAATGCAGTTTAGGATATTTTTAAACATGTTGCACAGTTAAAAAAATTCTTTTATGCATCTTAGATTTAAGTTATTTTTTTTTATATCGATCAACTGATACGATTCAATAAATGATATATGAGCCTTTAATTGGCATATATGACCATGGTATAAAGACAAAGGTATGCTCACATACGCATGCGACTAATCAAAATTGTCAAAGTGTGATGTCATAGATAAACGGTAAATTTCAAACTGCTATTTTCAAATAGCAGCATGCTCGTCAGATATACTATTTTAACTTCACGTTTACAGGAAAAATCTGTTTTAAAATAATATTTTATAAACTAATAAATATCCTGTACTTTTCTTTCGGCGACAATATGAAGCATGATGCATTGAAGTGTTGGGAACATATAGCTGAACACGAACAAAATTATATATAGTTTACTTCGTTACATTTATACATTTACAAGAAATAGAAAATCTTACCTTTTTTTATGTTAACGTTTTGTTTTCCGCATGCTATAACTCATTTATTTGCGATCGTAAAATTTTTCGGAAACAAAAAATATTTTATGCTATTTCCGTTAAGCAATTTTGTTTTCCGAAAATAATTGCCACAACCTTTTACAGCATAAGACATTGCATATGTAATATCAACAATTAAAGTGGAAAAGAGATTCAATTATTCGTTTTTACTGAAATCATGTTTCTTCGAACACAAACATCGAAAACATGGGCCCATGGCCAGATTCTGTTTTTCTAGGGATTCTATCAAGGACCGGCATCTATCATGTTAATCGTCAAATTATTCGGATGATCTGATTGGCTCCGAGTATGACGTTACAGTTTGACTGCGCAGTGGATTGACCACGAAATGAATATACCCTTGTCTTTATACTATACATATGTGTTCCACGTAAAAAGGGTTCTCCTAAAAATAAATTTTGAAATGATCATGAAAACTTGTAAGTGAACATATTGTATAAAGTTGAAAGTAAAAAATATAAGTATTATATGCCTTATATTCAAGATATTAGAGTCGTATAAAAAAACTTCTTCTATTGTAATTTTTTTTGTGAACTAAAATTATGTAAAATTTTTATAAGCATGAATTTTTAAGAATTTGTTCCATACCTTCACAGATAAAGATTAATTTTAATGAGAAAAATAAATAGTATAAAGAAATCAATTTTTTCCATAATAAATAAATAAATTATATTCACTTTTTAAAATCTGAAAAAATTCTCAAAAATACTTTAATATATGGTTTATAATACTTTAATATATGTAGAATATGGTACCATAAAGGAAATTTTGGGTTTAATTGGATTCATTTTTTTTATAAACAAAATATTTTTTTCCAAAACAAAATTGGAATTTCCGTCAAAAAATTAATAATATTAATTTTTAATAGGGAATGGAAGTAACTAACGCCGTTATCGTTACAAATTACTTTTTTTGGTAACTGGTAATGTATTTTTTTTTGTAACTGTAACTGTAACGGTACGTAGTTACATTCTTTCAGTAACGAAATTTATTTTTGTCGTTACTTTTTATATTTTAGATCCATTTATGATTTTCGCATTTAATCCGCAGCCTTTGATCGATATTCATAGTTTGTTGTTACATTTAGGATCGTCTTAAGAATAATTTTAAGATATAAACTAATCACAGAACCATATTAGCATAAGAATAAATCTTATGAATACCGGTTTTTAGATTTAGCGGTAATAGGTTTATTCGCATAATGTGCTCCAATTGTCCTTACAGCTCCTAGAGACTCTATAACTACAGCAGGACTATCCAATTTTAGCTCTGGAGCCAAAACACAAAGCCATCGATATAAAAAAATTCAATGTGAGTAAGATTGTAGGAACTGTAAACTGTTGATAAGCGTCACTTAAATGCGTATCAATACTTTACAGTTCCTAAAATCTTACTCACATTGAATTTTTTTACATGGATGGCTTTGCATTTTGGCTCTGGAACTCAAATTAGACAGGTCTGAATTCGAATCTGGTCACGACATAACCTCATGGTTGGTCCGACATTTTTCTTCAATTCGCCGCAGTTATTTGAAATGTATTTCATTATCTAGCCTTTTTTGACTAGATTCTATTTTGATGAATTGCTGCAGAAAAGCTGCATCTAACCCTTTTTTTTTTAGTTAGAAAGAAGTACTTATATTTAGATATTATGTAAAATAAAAAAAACATTATAAGATTTAAGAACGACTGATTACCATAATTGTATGAATACATCAAATATAATAAAGAAACCCATGATCCATTAAAGTTAAATGTTTCGAATAATATATTATATATTCTTTTTATTAAATCAATTTATTTCAGATATGACTGCGCGTTGGTAACTTTCGGACTTTCAGCACAGTCAATCTGAAACGCTAATAATCCCCCTTAAATTAAATTAAAAAGAAAGAAAAAAAGAACTTAT